GGGCCTGTCTTCCCCCCCTGCCATATCTTAACCGCCATATTTTAATTATTTAAACTTTGCCATCTTGGACTTTTTGGTTTTTACTTTTTTTAAATTTGTAAACCGCCAGAGTAGACCCTTGGTCTAGATGGGTGGGATAAAAATCGAATAAATAAATAAATAAATAAATAAATGAATAAATAAATAAATAAATAAATAAATAAATAAATAAATAAATAAATTTACTCTTTATGTCTTATATCATATAGGGCTAAGGGTCATAAGACAACATATGTGGCCTTCTTTCCCATTTTCATCCTCACCATATCATTCCTGTGAAGAATGTTTTGCTAGAAGTGAAATGACTGGCCCACAGTCACTATTGATGCTTTCAGATTAAATTTGCTGCTTTGCTTTTAGATTCATTGATTCAAGATACTGTCTCAAACCTGTTGATGGAATAATTAAAAATGCAAATAAATAAGTAGTTTTAAGAATACATTGTAATTCACAGTGTGCTCTCAATGCCGTGCTATTCCTCAAGGACTTGATGTCTTTCTTGTCTTCCTTCTGGCAGCCTTTCAGTTAGTACTTTGAGAAAGTCCTTACTCTTCAAACCTGTCCTACAGTCCCATCATCACTTACTAAGGAAAGATAAACGGTAAAGGAGGAGCTCAAAGGTGTATTGCTTAAAGGGAAAGGAATGCATATAGCATGGCTGTTACCTGAGCATGATCTGCAGGCAGGCACATGCAGTTTACTTGTCTCTGGGACACCTGACAGATCAGGTGTGGCCAACGGCCACTTTAAATCTCTCAGGTGTACACAGCAAAGTTTGTCTTTCCAGACATGTGTGATGTCATGCATTTCCTTGTGTGGACTAGCCAATTAAAAGTTTGCTTCCTGCAGGTATCCGGCTGGGAGTTTGAATGCACTGTTCTCAGGTGAAACATCTGCTAAAGGAGAAGGCTGGTTTACTTTTTTCTGTACTCTTATTAAGACACTCCGTACGTTTACGGAAACTAATTCAAGATCTAGTGGCTGTCCGATAAACACATAACAAAGGTGAGTTAAGTTGTTTTGTTCCTACTTTCACTTTCCTCCAGTTGGCTTTACAAATCTTATAAGGGAGAGAACGTCATTTTAGTGAAAAAGTGTTTTGGTGTGTGTGTTTAAAAACACAGGAAAAGAGGTCAGCTTGTATTGTTATGAAGGGAAACTGAAGTCCAGTTAGAGTGAGCTTCTAGTACTTCAAATATTGGCATTTCAGTATATCATGGTACTTTTTATTTTCAGAAAGGCCTCGGCTGTTTGCAGTTTTTTATTAGAATATTTAATTCAGTAGGGGTATAATCCTGTGGACAGAAACTGCAGAGTAAGTTCCAAAGAATCCACAATGACATACTTGCATGTAAAAATGCAGAAGTCCCAGTGAGAACGCAGAAGAGCAAATACTTTGAAGCTGACAGTTAAATGCATCTGAGATTACACAGGGAGTTTCTGTATAGATTATTTCACATTCTCAGTTTTCTAAAATGCTGATTCAGTTTCTAATATGCTTCATCTTCTGCTTCTCTTGATTGGTTGGTCAAGCTCCCAAATAATGGATATAGAAATATCTGAGGGAAAGTGCTAATACAAAAATTTCTCTCAGTGAAATTCTTCTACTTGTTGTTGTTCTTATTGCTAATATGTTGATCTGTAAATGCTGATGAACAAGACTGGGCACATGACACGAGCTAAATTTTCTTTGCACAGAGTTTGGCTGGTATTCTAAGGAATAGATTGTGTGTTTTTAAATAACTTAGTCGAATGCTGTGAGCAGTTTTGCAGACATCAGTCTCGCTGTGTTTAATGAGGTTTGTTTGCCGGAATATTTAACTTTGCAGCCTTAGGTTATTTGCTGGTTGGTTTTCAGTGCTTGGTCACAAACTTTTATGCAGTGTGATGGTTGCAGCAAGTTATGTCTGCTGATGCAATGAAAGCACCTCTTAACTTTTCACAAACAAACAGGCAAACTAAGGGTCCAGCTACACTATATATATACTATATATATCTCCTTCTCTTAAAGGGCCTTTGGAGAAACTAGTTGTGGTCAAAGCCACCACCATGGATTCAACTTTGTAAGACAAAGAAATTTTTTAAAAAAGATAACTGATTTAACACATCAGCAGTAGTCGCTTTCTATATATGTATAATACAGTATAGGATATATAGATATACAGTGTTTCCCCGAAAATAAGACAGGGTCTTATAATAATTTTTGCTCCAAAAACGCATTAGGGCTTATTTTCAGGGGATGTTTTATTTTACAGTCATGTCATCTACAGGTTACTGCACGATGCTGCACAATGGTGGAGGGCGGGGTTTCACTTAACTGGGGCTTATTTTGGGGGTAAGGCTTATATTACGAGCATCCTGAAAAATCATACTAGGGCTTATTTTCAGGTTAGGTCTTATTTTTGGGGAAACAGGGTATATATGAAATTCTGTTTCCCCTGCCCTCTGACGAGCAGAGGAAATGATTAATTTGCCAGTATAATAAAGCAGTTTGCTTATTAAGCCACTTCACCCTATGGGCAAATTGAAAGAGGAAGGCTTAACTTGGATCAGTTCCCTCAGTCACATGTGTTGAATCCAATCCAAAGCAAAGTGATCCTAACTGCAGCAGAAATACAGAAGCCCCTTGACAGGTGCCAGAAAGGTGTAGGCAGGAACACTCTCAGCTCTAATTGGCGTGCTCTAGCACAATGGTTTTCAAATTTGTGTCTCCAGATGTTCTTGGACTGCAACACCCAGAAATCCTGGCCAGCACAGAAAATGGTGAAGGCTTCTGGGAACTGCAGTCCAAGAACATTTGAGGACCCCAGTTTAAGAACCAATAGCAAAGATATAATCTGATTGCCATCTTTAAAAACAGACCATCCCTGCGGAGTGCAACACCCAGAAATCCTGGCCAGCACAGAAAATGGTGAAGGCTTCTGGGAACTGCAGTCCAAGAACATTTGGGGACCCCAGTTTAAGAACCACTAGCAAAGATATAATCTGATTGCCATCTTTAAAAACAGACCATCCCATCCCTGCAGCATTTGAAACAGCAGACTAAACTACCTGTGTAATCTCTAAGCCTGTGCAACACTTGATCTGAGAAACAGGAAGCAGCCCACTGGCTGCATATGTACTTACTTACTTACTTACTTACTTACTTACTTACTTACTTACTTGCACCCTGTTTTTCTCAAGAACCAAGACTCAAGGCAGCTCAGCAAATTGAAAACAGACACAGATAAAGGCACAAATCGTTACAATGTTGAAAGATAAACTATAATACTAAGCTACAATTGAATTAGAAAGCAATTTATAAACACATAGATAGAAAACAGCAGCAGGTCTCCTCCTTTTAAAAGTTGCTTTTGCACCAGCCGATCAAGCCAACCTGAATAAAAAGGCTTTTGTCTGCCAGCAAACTGCAAGGGCCACAATTCACTTCCAGTCTGGTTGTTTGCCTGGACTGCAAGTGCTATGCAGAGATGGTATCAGAAACTTTATATACCCCTGGTGACAATTGCTTGGGACCTTTTCTGGTCGAGAAGTGTGAAACTGAACTGAAATGTTAGGGCTCATGATTGAACTGTCCAAGTAAGGCCGGGCATCCCATTCATTGAGATTTCGGGGTCAAAATTGGAGACCAGGGTGGGTTCTTAGGATGTTGCAATGGCAAGACTAGAGATTAGCAGAAACCAGAAAACCAGTGGTTCTTGATGGTTCATTGTGAGTACTCATGAACCACAAAGTATCACAAATGCCCTTAAAAGTGAACCAGTTTGTTTTTGGGGGGGGTTCATACTGGGAGGGGAACTGCCTACTTGCCCAAGCCCTCATCAGCACCCAACATTGTCTTGAAGCTGCCACAGCCATCCTAAGAGGCAGCTGGGCCTCAGTCTGTGTGCATGCACTCACCTGTCAGCTGAGCTGCATACAGGCAGCAGGCCTGGCTCATTGCACAGAACTGGGCCTGCTGCCTGTACTCATGTTAATAGTGTCAGTAGGAATCCAGTCTGTCATCCCAGTATGAGTAGATCCATTAAATCAGTGAGATTTACTTAAGTGTTGACTCATCATTCAATTATTGATTCAATTGATTCAACTCTACATGGGAGCAGCTGTTGGATTTAGGCATCAGTATTTTAACTATGCACCCCAAAAGCTCATATGTTAAAAAGAAATCTTCCAAAATATAATTCCATACATGGAATAAAATGATGTCTATGAGGTAACATTGTCTTTCTGTATAAAATATCATGGTAAAGGTAAAGGTTCCCCTTGACATTTAGTCCAGTCGTGTCCGACTCTAGGGGGCGGTGCTCATCCCCGTTTCCAAGCCGTAGAGCCAGTGTTTGTCCAAATACAGTTTCCCAGGTCATGTGGCCAGCGAGACTAGACACGGAATGCTGTTACCTTCCCACTGAGGTGGTACCTGTTTACAGTATCTACTTGCATTTACATGCTTTTGAACGGCTAAGTTGGCCGGAGCTGGGACAAGCAATGGGAGCTCACTCTGTCATGTGAATTCAATCTTACAACTGCTGGTCTTCCAACGTTGCAGCACAGGTTTCTGCGGTTTAACCCACAGCGCCACCATGTCCCTATTTTTGGTACCAATTTGTTTTATCCTTGAGTGTTCTTTTGTTCCTTCTTCTACTGTCTTCAGTTATTCTTTTGTACAGTTTTCTGGCCATGGGCTTCTAGCTGTTAACTCGTGTAGACCTAGACCTTTATTACTATGTAGTATTGAGTTGAGAAAAGGAATTTTCCTGGCTATAAACACTGCATGTTTATTGGGAAAGAAAAGGAATCTATTATGTGAGAACTCTGCAAAATATCTAATACTCCCTGCAGAATAATAATTTTGAGGAATTCAAATAAAATGTACAGACAGGATAAGAGATTAGATTCATTATATTGGGTTGGAAAATGTATTATTGTGCAGAATACAACATCACTTAATAAATCAAAAGTCTCTTTCTAGACAAGGAATAAAATAAAACCCTCCCAAACGATGCCTGGTGTCCAAACTGTCAGTTCATGGATGGTCTTTTGACACTTGTTTATATGTAACTTATAAAGATATTCAGTTTGAAGTGCAATTCCCTAGTTGCATACAGTATTTCTCTCTCCTATACAGGTACAAAGACATACTGTATGTCTATAATACCTCTAGATGAAAAACAATGACATGTTGCTCTGTTAATAAAATATAAACTCAAGGGCAGCTTTGGATGTAGAAGAGAGCTTGTGGCAAAGCAAGGATCAAATTATTTTTCATCTTTTTCAAACATGCTAAACATGTGGAGTCATAAAAAAAGAGCAGCTGTTGACTAGGGCCTTTGTGGAAGGGGTGGGAGGCAACTAATCTGAATTGCTGCAAAAGCAGATTGAACAAAATGCTTTTAATTTTAAACCATAACGATGACTCAGCATATAAATCTGTTTTGATATTAATCTTTAGAAGGAAGTACTGTATCAGCCTGTGTCACTGGAAACCAAGGATTGTCATCTGTATGATGGTATTCTCCATTACAAAGTAATGTGAAACCTGGACACTGAAAAATGTGACACACGGAAAACACTGCATTCAGAATGTAGGGCTGGAGGAAAATTCTATGGAGACCATGGACATCCAGAAAGACAAAAATGATTGATGAAATCAAGCCTGAACTGTAACTAGGAGTTAAAATGGCTGAACTGAGGCTCTCATACTTCATTCATATCATGAGAAGGCAAGACTCACTGGAAATGACTACAATGCAAGGAAAATTGACAAGGAGTAGGGAAAAAAGAAAGTCTGAATAGGAGATGAAATGACGGAATAAAACAAGCCATAGCCTTGAGTTTGCAAGATTTGACCTAATGGAAAGACTTTTGGGATATTTCTAATTGAAAGGGTCGCCATAAGTCAGAAACAGCCTGGATGAGTGCAACCGTTTGCCAGCTAAAGAGTGTTCTGATTCAGATCTTCTTAAATAAAGTCATAAGCATAACTGCTGCTTTGCCATTGTATGGAG